ATATAGATACATACATATACCAATCTATTTTTTTACTCTCCTCTTTTAGCAAGTTTTGTATTTCTTCCTTTTTTTTCATTTGCTGATATATTTACAATAAGCACCCTTTCATGAATAATTATTGCTTTCGTCGGGAATCTCTCTTCCTCTCTTCTTGTTCTTTTGTCTCTCTTATTCCTGTCCCTCTTTTCTGGATAAATTTCTACTTTTTAACCAAACTATCACCCAAACCCCGTTTCAATTAATTCCAGTCATTTTCTTGTATATTTATCTTTCTAGGCATATGTTATGCAAGTTATGTTTGTGAACCAAATTTTAAATTAATGATAAACTGGTTATTTTGCAACAAAAAAGGTTAGATACATATATTTTAATTCAAATCCTTCTTGCAGAACAGAGTTGCAAAGAATATTAATCATGATAAAACTTGAAAATGTATGCTTAATTAAGAGTGTATTAATGTAAAGGACCGTAACTGTTGTATTCCATCCTCAGACGGTTCCTCATGTGTATGATATGTCTGGAAGAAATAAAAAAAAATAAAAAAATAGAATCCGTTAATTTAGCCACCGCTGGAGATAATTTATATAGGCTTTGCCTGTTATTCCATCCAATTGACTTGTATCAACTTTGTCAATAAAATTTGTTGAAATGAAATAGACAATATATCCACGGTTCTGATCCACGGAGCTTAGGAATTTGGAATGAGTATTACTCTTGTAGAATAATAAACCATATAGTTTGACTTACATTCAATTAATGAATCAAGAAATTTAAAGTGTTTGATATATGCCACATTATACATATTTCATTGATAACGTGGGAAGATGATCGGAGTCGGGGTTCACTGACTTCAGCACAATTAATCCCTACTAATGACAAGCTTTTCCTCGTCCTCTCCTGCTGTTACACTGCCGGTCATCGTCTCAAAGTTAATCGTCATGCTAAAAAGCAAGAAAAGATAGCGTGAGACGTACCTCATTATTGCATGATGAAATTAACAACAACAAAATACTACTATGACTATAGTCTCGTTCAACCAGACGCTTGATCACTTGTAATTCACAAGACAACAAGAGTCTGGTTGAACGAGACGACTATGTCTAAGTATTAAACAAAGCGTAGCTGAATCGAGTCATTTCGGTACATATATAACAACTATTGTATACACGCTTACAGCGTAGCCGAATCGACATCGATTTGTGGGCAACTCGTACACATTTTACACCTTTGTGTGCATACGCTTCACTAGTCATTTGTCTGATGAAGGTGACAGAGTACATACCGTACTTGTCATCGAAACGTTACATAGAAACACTTATTGGTTGTGTAACAAGAAACTTTTCATAATCCATACTTACCAACATGAAGAAAATATTTGGGAATAACAAAATGCTACGTTATTTCAAATAAAATTATTTTATATTTGTATTGTGTAATCAAGTGAAATAGAAAAAATACCTCTATGACGATACACAGGGTAAAGGTCGACACAAAACAAATAATCAACATGTTTAACGAAACCAAAAATGTCACCACGTTAGAACAAAACTTACCACTGATTCAACCCACAACGACAAAACCATCAAAATCAACACACTAGAACAAAAATATTACAACTGCGCCAAGGCACAAGGACGAATACATCACAACGCCAGCAAACTACATGTACATGTACACCAAAAATCACAAAATCAAAACACAAGAACAAACAAATATCATCTCTAAACCGAAATTGTGGTTAGACAGGATACAGACATTGCAAATGCCACACTAAATATAGAAAAACGAATGGATAATATATGCACAACTTCATACCATATTTGGAAAGAGAAGACAAAAGTATGGTTTACGCAAATACTGAGATCGAAGACTTTGATTGGTTTGAAGTACTAAAGGTTTCAGGTGGTGACACAAAATAGTTAATATCACTAGCACGTCAACCGATGTAAATCCTTGACCTGTACCTACTAAACAGTTTTTACGAGTACTACTTACGTTCGTCCACTTAGTGACATGGTACACTGTCTGGCTCGGAGATACATTTGGTAGAGGAAGTCCAGTTCCTGATATTCCCCGGCCGTTAGTTCAGTAGTCTTCTCATCCGTCCCCGTAGATACCCGCCAGCAGTGGTCATAACTACTAACAGGGCTACGCGTCACTTGTGGTTGTATACCTCTATTGTCTACACTTGACGAAATCTTTGCAGGCATAATATAGTCATTCTGCTCCTCCTTGTCATGCACATCGACCTTTGGCGCCTGTTGTAGTGATTCGTGTGTAGGGTTACATGTCCATGCAGGCAGGCAATGAAGTTCCTTGTTAACAGTTGGCAACCGACCACGAATACCACTGTCGTTTTTCGAGTATGCGCCCGCTTCTTCTCCGTATTCATTTGAAAATTCATCAGATTCCTTGTCATCACATGACGAGCTGGACATATCTTCTGTTTCGTTATCGTGATCAGATCTTCCCCACTGGTGACGGATCTGACTGTAACTTGAACATAAATTTGAGCCAGGACATCCGTTGGATTGGACATCAGCATCGTCTGAATCGTAAACATTTGACGGTGACAAGGAGTCTTTGTCACAGGAAGAAGAATTTGCCTCTTTTAGTTCTAGTTCTTTGCGGATGATTCTCTGCAGGTCGGAAAATTTCGTCCCACTGAGCCCATATTTTTCAAGGATACATTGCGGCTGGATATCTGATAAATCATGAGAGCGACAACATTTCTTCAGACCAAATCTGCAATCACCCCGAATATAATGTTCACAGATGTGAAGAAATGGACATTTGTCTGGCTTCCCGCAGCCCTTCATCGAATTGTAATATGAACATATACCGGGTATGGTAAGTCCCCTTCTGTTATCTAAGCTGCCCAGGAATTCTCGAATCTGTTTGTTAGATAGTCTCTCCATATAGTGAGATCTCAACACGTACCAATTGTACTCGTTTCTCAAGTTGTGACCGAAAAGGCATTTCTTTCCTCTGGAACATTCATTCATCATTTGAAATTTACAGATATGCAAGGATCTACACTCATTGGGACATGAGCCAACGGTACTTCCATGTTCCTTACAGATGTCCAAAGATGAAATGAAAGACATAATTTTGACGTTGCCCGTATCGGGACTTCCTCTCAAAACATGGCGGTGGTCGTGTATAAATCCTTCACATGTGTTATCGGAGGAGAGCTTGAGCATATCACGGTAAAGTGTTCTGTGTGATTTTTGTAGAGACGTTATTTGTATAGAACCGCCGTTGTTAACTAAGATTTCAACAATGTAACTCACCAGCCCGTCCGGTCTATATGGAAATGGCTGCTGATTTGACTTTCCTTTCTGCTTGGTCTGCCGGAAAAGGTCCTCCCCTGTCCCGCCATCCGTCTGGCCGCTGTTCCTGGTGGTAGAATGTGGCGGTGTGTGCGCTGATGATTCCCTTGAAAATGATTGAGACGTCTTTGTTCTCTTTTTCGAAGCCGTCTTATTGTTGACCTGGGAATTACCCATGGGACTAGTCGACTTTAACTTATCATCAGTTTGCCTGATTGGCCCTGGCTTGTTGCCTGCCTTTACCTTAACTCCGCTCGTATCGTTTACATCGGGACCTGTTGGATTTTCCTTTCTATTACTGGTACTGCGGGTTTCCGGACCAACAGACGATGACATTTGTTTATCTTTCCTACCTTTTCCTCCTCTTTTTCTTCCTCTGCCACTTTTGCCCTGGTTCTGAGTATCCATATCTAAAACACATTACAATAATAAATAACTCATTTTGGGATGGACACTAATCCACATCATCGATAGACATAATAATAATGGAAGATTTGGAAGTTTTCCAATTTATAAATTGTATTTCAATCATTGCATGCATCGTAAAACACGTCGTACACACACATACACTACAGCCGAGCCTCCGTTTAATTGCCAATGCTTATCTGTCAGGGTTATGTTATCAATTAACGTATGTTGCTGACTTGCTTATTTAGGGGGGCAAGCCTACACCGATCAAATTATTATCTATCCGCTTTACAGGCCCTATTGACCTCTTGTTTGATGAATTATCGGTTTTCATATTTAATCAATACACAGCTATATATTGTGGTAGCTGACATGTTTTTTGCCCCTGTTGTTGTCAACAATTGTTATCTAGGTCCATAAACTACACATTAAAAGTTGCCAATGCAATTGAATAGCCTTCAAAATTCTTCTCTATTAAACAGGAAACAGAAGATCGATCATTGGTCACGTGATATGTATTCGCCTTGTCAGCTTTAACCAGACTCCGGACGGTGCCCGGTTGGAGTGTTTTGATACCGTATCCGGTTTATAACATTGCAATGAAGCCCATTACAAAGTGGCATTTTTAGATCCACGTGACACTCCCGGAAACTGTAAATGACTATAGCTTTGATAAATCACTTCTAAAAAAAAAATATTTGCGGAACTCATTTGAAAAATCAGAAAGACGAAATAAACCGAAAATAATCAACAACAGAGTTCTGGAAGGGGAAAAATGGCGGGGTAAGACCAGGGTTCGAACACTGGATTTACTTCAGATTGTTATACTACTGATCTAACCGACTGAGCTACATAATGTACCTGGTCTACAGCATTGGTACGGCCCAACTGTACTACAGTGATCTCGAAAAAGTAATAAAGATGAAGTTACTGTATATGAAAAACCACAGTGTAGTGGGACAGGGGATCCGTACGCGTCCCATCATCAGTGAACACCGTCTTATGACCTCAGCTGTTGTGAGGAAGTAAAAACCCAGACAAACAAATCCGGAAATACGAAGTACATGATAAAGAAAACTTCGCCGTTTTCCTTGAAATGATACTTACTACATGTACATCGTGTAAATATCATATTTCCTCGCTACTGTGATATGCTAGTTTCATTCATAAAGACCAGTGATTTAAACCACGGGACGAACGTTATTTGTACTGTATATATGATTTAACTCGGGACGTACGTTATTTGTACTGTATTTTTTTTTTATTTAACTCGGGACGAACGTTATTTGTGTACTGTATTTTTTTTATTTAACTTGGGACGTACATTATATGATTTAACTCGGGACGTACATTATTTGTACTGTATATATGATTGAACCCGGGATGTACTATACGTTATTTGTAAGTTGTATATAGGATTTAACTCGGGACGTACATTATATGATTTAACTCGGGACGTACGTTATTTGTAAGTTGTATATAGGATTTAACTCGGGACGTACATTATCTAACTATGTGATATATTTTGACACACATATACCAATTTATACATGTACCGGGAAATATTCATTAACTATTATTAAAAAAAACACCAATATTGGTAAAAATATAACTGTTTGAGAAATGCTTGGTACACGGATATAATAGAAAATGTGGATAAACAGTCATAATGATTACTATATCTATATGAAACTTCTAGGCGGAGAATTATCGACATGTCAATGCATCAACGTTGGAAAAAATACGGTATGTTTTAATACATTTGAGTTAATTAATAGCTGCAAGAAATGAATTTCATTTATATTAAAATGTTATTTTTAACAGTTTTCAAGAAGAAAATCCTTAACAACTCTCATGTGTTAGCAATCAAATCATGTTTCAGCTATCTCCTAATTATGTAGAAAAATAATAAAACGACGTTATGTAGCTAATTAGATGTACTAAGTGTGTATATCTTGTATATCTTGTATATCTTATTGATTGCAATACCTCGTTCACCCCTCCCCTGGACCTGATATCCGGTACTGTGATTACGTATGTGCATGTAGAAGTGTCGTGCCCGTTTCGAAAATTGATTCACGAAGCTGCTTGCTTTGGATAAGACATGCCTCTGCATACACAAACCCACATTTTCCAATACATATTGTCATATGGCTTCTGAATGCCAGTGTTATCTTGATATCTGAAAACAGTCCATAAAATGTTCATCGATTCACATAGATTTTCTTGGATTTTCCGCACACGGTCCGGGAGGATGATGTTGTATGCTGGTTAAGAGGGTTCAACCGAAAGGAATGAAGAAGAAATGAAAAGTTTTTCAAGGAAATTACGCATATTACCAGATGAAGGGGGTGAAGAAATTAATACATTACATGGAGACTATCGTTCAAAGGGAGGTAAATCGTCGTTATCGATTGGCCCCGCAATGGTTGAGTTTAAACACATTTTACTGTCATAAACAAATGGTTTGAACACGATTAATACGAGCATCATGAAGCCCGATGACGTTAAAATATTGTTTTGGTGTAAAACGAAACATAAATATCATTAGCATAGAGCCCTGTTAAACCGTCTAATGCATCAGCGGGTGACGACCGTTAAAGCATGAGTTACTAATAAAGGTTTATCACATTATGATGTACTGTGTTATCCAGACTCAGTAGTGGATCCAGAGGTTTTTCCTCAATTTTTCTCCCCACNCCCCCCCCCCCCCCCAGGGGAAACCCCCTAGATAGGTATCTAGCCCACTGCCAGCGAATATACCAATGTCGTATTTTTTTGTGTATTTAATCCATGTAATATGACCTATCAGCCCTGCGATTGGTTGTAAGTTTCAATTGTTTCAATTGTGACGTCATTTTATATTTTAGCTCGCCAGAGGCTCGCTAAATTGAAAAAATCTTAGACTCGTTTCATAAATCTCATATGAAAGGAAAACTCGTGTAAGATCCTATATATATACTAAACCTTCCACATATATCTTAATGGTATTTGATGTGTTTAGACACGTTGACGCTTAATGGGTATAACAGACCGTGTATCGTGTAACGATCCTGAACGGGTCTGTCGAAAATATTATATAGTACATACTACTTACCCGTATACAAGAGTTCGGCTAATGGCGAACTGTATCAGATATCTCTCGTTTCGGTCCGTGTTAGTCGCTGTAGAAGTGCCCACTTCCTGTCAGTTAAAAATGTGTCTGGTTAAGTTAATGACGATAGTGCATTGTAGTCCGATACGTGTGAACTGTCGATAACAAATCTTTGTATACAAACAACTCGTCAAAAATTTGATCTTCCTTATATATAAATTATTTATAACTCGATGACATGTACTTTATTTATAACTCTTTATAAATACATGTGGATGACTTTCTGAAAATGGTTACCGTCTTTAACCGAATAAGTGGTCCTAGTCAACAACTAGGATACAATTGAATATCGAGATAACTTAAGAGGTGTTGTTTCAACCTAAACGGGACCATTAAGAAAATCAAAAATATTTTGTTCTATTCCGGCAAATACACCGTAATACTTAGATTTTGTATAAACCCAGATATGCGCTATGAAGTAATTTTTACAGTTGCTACTTTGACCAATATGCAAGAAAAGCATAAGTGTTTTTGGTCTTTAAATGCGTTTTTGACCAACAGCACATGCACGTGCCAACTTCACTGATGATGGGTTTTTTTGTGTATATAAGTAGCAGAACTGGACAGTTCGATTGTTGGTAAAGGGTTGACACCATCCGGTCAACAGCTATTTTTGCAGACAACCCTTTCAACAATCACGTATACATTTGGTATGTGTCAGTGAGATGAGACAACCCAAATGAACTCTTCTCACTGTGAAAACCTCTACTGATTTATAGACCCGCCTCTCCTCTTAATTATTATTATAATAAGGTATGATAGTACAGTGTAATATTGTGTTTATCATTGTATGAGGAGTGTAATAGTTTCCACTATATTATTGTACGCTAGCATAGTAAGATGATTGCTTTACGGTCAACCATATCATTGTTATATTGTACTTTATGATGCCCTCTTGTTGCGCACAATAGTGTGCCTGAGTGATAATAAAAATCTCTGAAATCTCTTAACCTATCTCGTGACTCGTTTACAAACCATGCGTAAACAATGTCGGGGCAATTATGTAGCCGAGTCTAAAAATAACATATTTAATGAAATACAGCAGTGCATCAAACGACTCAGCTCGCTATTATCATTTAGATCATTTACCTTAGTATTTCGTCACAAAAGATATTCTACCTATTCTACCTATTTTTCAACTGTTGTTGATTTACAGTATATACGTACATGTATTAGTCACAGTACAATTACAACAGGTAGTGCATATCTTGATCATCATATCATAATACCCCATAGTAGTAATTGTTAGCGTCCTTTGAACACCGACGCTGTATTGTGAACATAAACTGGTGTATGTGTATCATATATATCCTGTGCCTATCAGCTCTACCTATTTTTGTCTGCATATAATTATGTGTGTATCATATTTACTTGTTTTTTGTGTCCATATACAATCATGAATATATTTACCTTGTTTTTTGTCCATATATAATCATATAAGGCAATTATCGTCGCTGAACCAGGTAAAGCTTGCTCTTCCTTATAGGGATTTTCCCAAACATGACTCTCAGGAGTGAAAGTGGATGCTTATAAACTCGACAACTGACGATATTTGAATTGATATGACAGGCTATCAATTGTTGTCTCTGATAATAGTAATTTTGATTATGTGATAGAAGAGTTATTTTGTTGATTAAATAGTTATTATTGACCTACATGTAACAATGCAAGTTATCAAACCGTGCTGATATCATTTTACCTGTGTACTCTGTTTTAAATTAGTTTAAACCCTATTTTATTCAGGTCGATTAATGGAAATGATCGGGAAACAAGTACAAACGTACATGTACTTCTACATAGTCCTTCTCGTCGTTCGTAACAAGCTTTAATAATAATACATGCATAGCTTTACAGTCTTAATATGTACATAAGGAACTATTGAGAATGAAAGATAGAACATGATATTATAGAAAAACAAATATAAAGCATCTGATGGAGTTTTACCCGGTGGGATTCTCCGATTTGTAGTAAAACACAAGGAAAGAAGAATCGGATTATCCGGTTAGACGGGTAGTGACGTTAACATAGCATCTTAGCGTAATTCAATACTGATTGCTTGCAAATCTTCTAATTGATTTGATGAACTGTTTTAAGTTGAAGAATACTGATAAAAGAAACAAACATTAAACACTAGAATTTCTTATTGTTCAATTATTTATTAAAAAAAGGGCGATGAAAATACAATAGTACTATTTTTATACCATACGTTTTATCAGCCCATCGGCCTTTGGCCAGATAATAAACTGTATGATTAAAAATAGCCACACGGTAACCGCAAATTATCCTATTTGTGATTAGTATGATTCCTATCAGACATGTTGCTAAATATTGATCAATCAAGGTCAGCGGAACCACGCCAATGTTTTATATTGTGCAGAAATGGAAACCGTTCCACTGCGCCACCCGACTACCCCTAACATATTTAGGATGATAGACGCTAGATAGTTAATAAATTGCAGGAAGAATGGATAGATAGTATTGTCAAGTTTAAGGACTGTTGTAAAACTGAAATCTGCAGTCTACATGTATCTTCACCAAACTTGAAAGAGTATAGATATGTTTTTTCCCACTATAAATACAGACCGGTGGTTTTGCCGGAGAACCGATGAGACGTGTAATAGAATGTAGAAGTTCGACATCAATATAAACATGGTAATATTGCCAAAAGAAAACGACATTGAAATATCATTCGGTCTACCCCAGTGGTGTATGATAATAGGTTGTAATATCCCCCCAGTTTTTTTCGAGTGCACTAAAAACTAAATATGAAACATTCTATGGCAAATAATGTGTCATTTTTATTATTTTTTAAACAATGGCGCTATCAGGGGCGGGTCCANCCCCCTTCCTTTTAAAAAATAAAATAAAATAAAAATATCGTAATCTGCTAATATTGTATTGAATATGGCAATTTATCATATTCATTAATTAAACACATAAACACCCTGACATTTTAACTATAAAATATACATGCTCCAAGTCAGGAACCGTTACATTAGTGCATTTCACAATTATTTTATGTTTTTTAGCAAAAAAAAGGTCCAAATACAGATTTCATTCTACGCGCCCCCTCTTTCAAATATCCTAGAAACGCCCCTGGCTATAACTTCACATATTTTAAATTAACAAATGAAAGTACGTGTAGCAAGCAAACTTAAAATACAGTATATTTTATTGTTCTGAAGTCACGCACGGCTGATACATTGTAATATCTGTATTTTTTAGAATATTTCTGTTTCTTTTCTTGTCATTGTAATTCTATGCTGTTATTTTAAAGCTGTCTAAAATGTCAAGATATTCCGTTAAAATGTTTGACGATATTCCATGCTAGATCGTTGATAACACTTAGTCAATAAATAGTACTGATAAAACCCACCAGGTTCTTGGCCATCTTTTTTCTTCCTGGAGGTCCAGTTAACGATTTTCGATAAACTCACATTGTTGTTTTTATGTTTGTTTTGTACTTTCTGTTTGGGATTCCAAAACTGATTGTTAAAAAATAGAAACGAAAATATGCATACTGCACAAAAAATAGTCTCGTTCAACCAGACTCTTGTTTCTGCAAAGCTACTACAAGTGATCAAGCGTGTAGTTGAACGAGACTACAGACATACACACCACAAGGTTAAACACAAGGTTAAACTTAATGTCAGTTTGTGTTAACATAATGATAAAGCGCTTTTTACAAAAAATCTAAAACCGAAAGTGAAAGTAGCGTACCCAGAAATGAACACGTCATTGGGAATTCTCAGAACATAAGCATAATAAATGTACCCGTTGGATACCTATTATAAACACTGACCGGGTACATTTTGACACACTCCGGTATATTAACACACTCCAGCCGCTGTGACACTTGCAACATGCCCAACCGAAAGCGGCTTGCCAAGGATTATTCAACAAAAAAATCGAGCCGACATAGGCCTGACGATTACTCCGTGTCAAACAAACGAGGACGCCATGACGACTACCCAACAACTATCAGTAAATGTGGTAAGTTGCTAACCAGAGGTTACATACACTTGAAAGGTACCGAAAATGCAACATTTTTCATTTGCTTTTCTTAATCCAATAGTCCTGACTTCGTTTATGTTTCGTCTGCCCAAACGGCGAGTGAGCTTATTCCATTGCGCAGCGTCCGTCGTCTGTCGTCTACTTTTCTTTAAACAACTTCTTTTGAAGAACCAAAATACTTAGAATCATGATATTTAGCTTATAGCTTCTCTGGATGGAGCCTAACAAAATTTGCAAATAGAAATTACCTTTATTTACTTTCAAGGTCACAGAGGTCAAATATGTCAAAAACTTCTAACGACTTCTTCTGAAGAATCAAAAGGACTAGAATCATAATTTTTGGCTGGTAGTTTCCTTTGTCGGAGCCCAACAAAGTTTGCAAGTAAGAATTACCTTCGCCTGCTACTTTCAATGTCACAGGGGTCAAATATGTCAAAACCTTCAAACGACTTCTTGTGAAGAATCGAAAGGACTATGATCATGATATATTGCTGGTAGTTTCCTTTGACGGGGCCTAACAAAGTGTGCGAGTAAAAAATTACCATATCCTACATGTATGTACGTTCATGGTCACAGGGGTCAAAAACTTAAAATGACTTCTTCTGAAGAACCGTTAGGTTTACATTTATGATATTTGACTGGAAGCCTCCTTTGATGTAGTCTTATAACGTGTTTGACAACTTAAGTATTCCCGGAATTAAACCTGACAAAGTTTGCAAAATGAAATGACCTTGACCTACTCCTTTGGTTATATCAATAAAACATTTCATAATTCCTCCCTATAAACATATAAAATTGCTAGGCTTGAAGAGTCAAATTCCTTCATGCTACTAGGATTGGGTCAGGGATCCAGCTCCATCCATGGGGCTTACATTTTGGGTCATAACAAAAAGCTAGTTCTGATCACAAACTTTTAATCAGATATACAGTGAGTGGCCATTAAGAGATGTCTACGTTCATGCCACTAGGATTTGTACCTGATGTTCCTCTTAGCCATTTTGGAAGGAGTTGAGATCCCTACCCTATAATCATATATTAAATTGGTGGGCATGAAGAACCAAAAATATTCATGTCTTTAGTGTCATTACTGCCCCCAGGGATTTAGTCCTTGTTACGGCTTATGTTTTTGCACTATTGGATTAAAGTGTACGGGAGTCAACAGGGTTGAAATTAAAATAGAAAATTGCAGGTGAGCTATCAAGGCCCCTGGGCCTCTTGTGTGTCTAAGCTTGATGAAACCTGGACAGAGCTAAAGACCTATATAATGTTCTTTCTGATTATGTGAATATAATTATAAGCTTCTCTTAGAATTTAAACTATGGTGAGCTAATTGTCAAAAAATGTCTACGGCAAATTTAAACACAGGGTCTAGGGGAATGAGGTCGAATATAACTTTTATGCTTGGATGTTATATTCAGAAAGTCATCGACATGTATTTATAAAGAGTTATAAATAAAGTACATGTCATCGAGTTATAAATAATTTATATATAAGGAAGATCAAATTTCTGACGAGTTGTTTGTATACAAAGATTTGTTATCGACTGTTCACACGTATCGGATTACAATGCACTATCGTCATTAACTTAACCGGAGACATTTTTAACTGACAAGAAATGGGCACTTCTACAGTGATATCTCGATAATAATATTAATATAAATATTGCTTAAGAACGCAATGGGTAATTGTCTTACAGTATAATAATGAAAATTTCTATCAAAATGATATCGCAAACAAAGTCACGATTTTTCTTTGCAAACAAATAGTAAATGAAACAAATATGGTTATATCACTGTAAATGATGCAGCATGTATATTTTGCTACACAAATTAATGTATCTATTCTATCGAAATACATGTAGATATTTATATAGTTTTAAGTGATTGGAACAAACTTTATACGCCTCCTGTATTTTGCTCATTAACTTAATTGAAAAAAACCTCATCAAATTCAAAAGTGATACTACATGTAATTCCTTTAAAATGCAGTGCAATGACTAAAATATCCTATCACATTTCTAAACACGAAAAACGTATTGTTCGAACGAACAGTTTTGTGAAAAAATGAATTATATGATAATGTCATTTGTTCGTTAAATAAAGAAATAATAGTTCAAATGCAGTCAGTTATTTTCAAAAACTGCTTGATATGATTAGATGTTCCATGTTGGGTACCCAAGTACCCTAAAACGTCCAAGAGAACCCGACCCAGCTCGTTATAAATGTAACAGACACACGCCCTGGTGATACCCAAACTAAAGCCAAAACATACTTTTGTTTTGTAAAAGTAACAAAGCTTATGATGTTCCTGAAGCTAAATAAGGAACAGTAATAAATTTTCTTTAAAAAGTGTTTCAGTGCTTCTACCCTCACAGTGTATTGCCATAGACTGCTGCCGGGGAGTTGCATGCATAAATAAGGGCAGGTGATGGGGACTTGATTTTTTTTAATATTACTTGCTCTTTTTTTCAAATATCATTACATTTGCGGTTAATTAAAAAGCATGATTATCGACATCGATCAGAATCAATTAATAATTAATTTTAGAATACAACAGTAGAATCCCGCTAAATATTTATAGTTGTGTATATCCCTGATCGTGTGGTAATGTCATATCCGGGTATCACAGAATGTTTATAACTTCTGGTGGGTTTTTTTCGCTCTCCTTTTCAGCATCATTCAATGAGTGACGATGTCACCTAATCTTTTTATTGGTAACAGATGTGTTTATAGTCTTACAAATATATTGTAGGCCAAAAGAAAAATTCGTGTTTAGTCGTTAGTACATTTCATCCCGATGATTTTGATGTCTTCAGTTTTTCTGTAGCATTTACCGTTAACTTCCTACGCCATATTGAATATTTCCTTTGATTTTTATAAAAAGCCGACACAATGTTATTGTGTTGTCCTGGCTAGCAGATTTTTTCCAGTCTAGGTATTCATGTTTGCCCGTTTTGAACGTCCAAATGTTTTATATCTTTTATTATTATCAAAAATTCAAGATGGCCGCCATGATGTCATACATAATGTATCCGTTCTTTCCTAATTGCAATAGCTCATTAACGAATATAGCCATCAATTTCAACTTTGGATATGTTATGTAGCCCAATAATACAAAACTTTTACTTTGGAAAAATAAATTGTGTCAAACTTTCGGTTTTTGGTAGGGGTCAAAGTTCAAATGCACTTTTTGGATAACAAACTTTGAAAACTTGTTCTCAAGGTATCCAAGGCCTATATATAGTCTTGATATTTGATTTGTAAGATGACAAGATGTTCAGCTATCAGGTTTAAAATAAGATTAACCTTTGTTAACGATCAAGGTCATAGAGGTTAAATGTTCAAAAAGTAAATATTTCTTTATACTAAAATATTTCAAAAACGTTGGGTAAGGCACTAACATTATATTGGTGTCTTATGGTGTCTGCCAATTCACATATTTCTCTCAGGAAACATTTTTGTGTCGAAGGTTAACTTTCGGCTTTTTTAGGGGTCAATATTTGAATTTGATTTTTTTCTCAAATTCTACGAGATCTAGGGTACTAATATTTAAGCTGTAACATGTTCAGGTGATTGGCTTTCAAGTTTGAAAAATGATTGACTTTTATCAACTTTCAAGATCACAGGGTCAAACATGTCAAAATACTTAACCTTTCCCAAATAAGGAAAATGGGTAGGTCCATGATACATGTATTTGGCAAGGAACGTTCTTGAAAGAGGGGCTTTAACATGGTTCCAATGAAATGACCTTCACACGTACATTGAAAACGACTCAAACAATGACTGTCAAAATCCATCTTCAAATTTTTAATGTTATAGTTGAATCAGGACTTCCAGTACTTTGATTTCTAAACAAAAAACAAAGCTTACTTTCAGTACTATGGTTTGTATTATCCTTTTCTTCATAGAGGTAAAGACCATGAGGTTTTAAAAAAGGTTTGAGATCAAAGACCAAATCATGAAAGCCCGTCAAATTGTCAGCCAATAATTTATAGTTTATTATTATTTTGCTGACATGATTATTTTGCTGTATTTTTAGTGAAAAAAGTTGGATTTTTTGTCAATAAAACAATTTTATGAATTCAGTGATAATGTTTAAGTCATGTTTACAATGTATCGCACTCTCTTTATTTGGACATTTACGTTTGTAATACCTCATGTTATCTAACGACATGATATGTAAAATATATTAAAAAAAAAAAAAAAAAAAAATGTTAAGGTTAAGACGTTTTTATGTGGACCTGATAGGGTGATATACTATACTCTTCTGTCAGGTCCGCATAACAACGTTGTGAGGCAGTCCTCGGTCGATATTACTCGATCAGGTCCATATAACAACTTGTTAACCTCAACAATGGACCCTTAATTGATACGTATAACACACGCAACGTCCTGTCACCTGATTAGGACAATTCTCGTGTCGTATTAGACATGATTAAGATGTTCAGGAAACTATAAACATCAGTTCGTTTTTTGAAATTCGTTCCTTGGTATAACTGTATAAAATCACCTTAATAGATGACGTCACATGGAGTGATTTCCCGGGTATTACATAATGTCTATAACAACAGGCGTTCTTGTATCGATTATTAGCAAGCTATTTTCCGTGTTAAGCCCAACAAATATAACCCTGCTATTAGTGACAGAAACTCGCCATTTATCATAACACCGTTTAAAATAATTCTTCTCCTATCTGCTTGACTGAAAGACAGGCGTATTGTACACATACAAAACTTGTCAAATATAATAGCAACCTTATCTTTCCTTTAGAGACGTGATTTTGTTTTAACTCGTCTGTTCTAAACTAGTCTTGCTTGATTGATGTGGGTAAAAAACCACAGACTTAGATTATTATATGTTTGAACAGGCAGTCTGTTGAATCACATGTGTTTACTGCAGTAGATACCGTACAGTTTCATCTATCACTATGATTTTGTATTAGTGAACTGCCTTTCGTAGACATCAAAGTTTGATAATTAC